AGAAAATTATTCCACGTACTTTTCAAAGCCAAAAGGTGGCACTTATTACTGAAAAAATAGCTTACCAAAAGAAGAAGGCTCGACTTCGGGTAGAGTCTGAGAGAGTGAAGATACTACTTTCGTCCAATGAAAGTGTTGAAGTCAATCTCTCCTTTTTATTTAATTCAACTGTAGGATATGTGATGGAAATTAGTAGAGCTGAAATGAATGAGAAATGTAGTGATTTATTTGAAAAATATTGTGCGTGCATTAAACAAACGCTTATAAAATGTAATATTAATTCCAGAAGCATTAAGAAAGTGATAATGACTGGTGGTGCGTCTGAAATGATTGCATTACAAGACCAAGCAAAATTGATATTCAAAGAAGCTGCAGTATTTGTTGTTGACACGCCCGAGTTGGCTGTTGTAAAAGGTGCCTCAATGTATCATAAGGGAGACATTCAAGATGTTATCAATCATTCGGACGAAGACATTCGCGTTGAAATTGGATCAAAGTGTGAAGTGATTGTTTCAAAAACAGACTTACTCCCAGCAGAAGGGACAAAAAGGGTTGCCACCGTAGTGGATGAACAAAAGAAAGCAGTGTTCAAGATTTATAAAGGAGACAACTCTCAAGCCGATTTTAACACATTTGTTGGAGAGTTTGTGTTTGACAACATCCCAGTTCAAAAGGCCGGAGATGTTGTCTTTGTTCTGAAAATTGGAGTTGACACTGTTGGTAATATCGAAGCAGAAGCACATATGATTAATGGAAGAACAGAAAGGATAGAAGCAACTGTTTCGTTTGAAAAGAATAAAAAAGATTTTATTTTTACTAAAAGGCACTTTGATTATAAGGCATACAATTGGATAAGCGCACATCCGGAAGAGAAGCGTCCATCCAGTGTATCCTCACGATTTTGCTGGATACTAATTTTTGTTTTACTAAATTCATTACTTGTCATGTATTTAATAGGTGTTGGACAAAATCGGGGTTTCGCTTCATGATCAGTATAATTTATTTGGATAATAAATTGTTTGTTTTTTATGGTAAAAATTGATGTTATTTAAATGTATAAAAACCTTTAAATAACACCCCCGTTTTTGTATTGAATTGTATTTATTGGGATATTAATACAAGAATTTATTACTTTTACTAATCATAATACTCAAGCCTTATCAATAGAATTTTTTTTACTTTTCCTATTCCACAATTTTAATACTTAGTATTTTCTTACTCATTATGTCTAAATTATAATAAAATATTATATGCACACTTTTGTCATAATACCCTTTTTGTAATATGTTTAAAACTATAATTCTGTATTTGTTTTTTTGTTTAAATTACAATACACAAAAAATTCAATTATGCATTTCCAATTTGATTTGTTATTAGATTACATTGCTCAAAGCAGTTTTCTTCTTCAACCATCTCTTCGCCTTTTTTGTTTAAATTACAATAATTGAACACATATTGAATAAAAATGGAGTCAATTTTATTAATGTTAAAATAATTCGTAAAGCATTGCAACCACTTCTTCTATTTTTATTCTTTCAATTGGACGTTGTGACAAACACAACACAATGATATTGTACATTTTTACATCAACATAATCAGGCTTTTCGAGACGCTTTCCCAATGAAACTAACTCTGGTTATTTATACGCAATTCTCCATGCAAAGCACTCATTGATAATCATTGCAAATGAATAGACGTCGACTGGTCTTTTGTACTACTTAAAAAATTGGTTAATTACAAAGTATTTTGGTATCTCAAAAAATTGAAGAAATGAATTGATTCAAAAATTTTAGTTGTTTTTGTTGTAACGTCTTGTTGTTATTTTACCAAGATCGTTGCAAAAATTGTTGTCAGAAACGCGAACGGTTTTTTTAGTTATTTAAAAAAACAAATTGCAAAACTTAAATTTTTTCACAGCAAAAGATTTTTTATATAACAAAAAATAAATGTAACGTGAACGTGTTAAAGTACCTCATAACTTTTATTAATTCGACAATATTATTAAAATGACCAATTAAATCAAAAAAAATATTTCAAACCCATTTAAACAACAAAACAACTGTCAAAATATAAATGGTTAAACTTGAAAGTTATCACGTCATGATAGTCTCTAAGTACTTTGACACAATCGAAGACTTCATTAACTTGGAGTTGGTGTGTAAACAGTTTTGTGGCAATATGGAAAAATTTCACTTTAACCCAATACCGTTAAATTCCAAAACGGTTGAATACTTCCCAAAAATCGAAACACTTCATTTGTGGGATGTAATTGATGAAAATTTTGGTAATGATTTTCTGATCAACAAACAAAAGATAAAAGATATCGACGAATTTAAAAATGTTTCAAAGAAATTGTTTTATCGAATTATTGTGTGGTTCGGTGTTGATTTTGAAACTGTTGACAAAAACAAAACACAAAACATTGAGTTTAAAAAAGTTACTTACACTCAAAATGATAGAAAGAAATTTGGTAATAAGATTCCATCAAGTGTTACATCAATTGGTGAAGAATGTTTCTTGAAATATGATCGTATAAGAAGAGTTATAATACCATCAAACATCACATCTATTGGTAATCGTTGTTTTCGTCAATGCAACAATCTAAGTAGTGTTATAATGCCATCTAGCATTAAATCAATTGGCGAATGGTGTTTTTGTTTTTGCGATAGTCTAAGTAGTGTTACAATTCCATCGAGTGTGACATCAATTGGTAATGGGTGTTTTGTTTTATGTAGCAGTCTGACTAGTATTACAATACCATCAAGTGTTACATCAATTGGTGATCAATGTTTCAGACAATGTACAAGTCTGAGCAATTTTACAATACCATCTAGTGTGAAATCAACTGGTGATTGTTGTTTTAATCGATGTAGCAATCTAAGCAGTGTTATAATACCATTGAGTGTAATATCAATAGGACAATGGTGTTTCTGTGGATGTGGTAATTTAAAAAGTGTGACAATACCATCGAGTGTCACATCAAATTGTGATGATATTTTCGACTCACACACAGTAGTTTATCACAGTTTAGGTGATAATTAAGTTATTATTTATTTGTATTAAAAAGATAAAAAAGTCAATTTAAAATTAAGAAATTAAAAGGTGGAATTGGTGAAATTGTTGGTAATACAATGAACTTAAAGACGGTTTTTTGTAAATAAATAAATAAAACTCACACCAACAAATCTTTTTATAGTGTGGGTTTAATTTAAATAAGCTTCTCTTTTAGAACCCTAAGATAATTCAAAAACAACAAATAATCTGTGAAATAATACCAAATGTTTTTTTAGTATGTTTGTACTACATTTTAATATTCTAAAATAAATATAATATAACCTAACCACTTTTATACATGGCATTCTCAATGAAATGCTGGTTGTCAATCTTTTCTTTGTTTTTCAAATCAATTGGTATGATCTATAAACCACATCACAACAATGACACGTATTTGATTAACTATCGTAAATGGTCTGCCGACTGTGTTGATATCACTCGAAAATTCGCTAGAGAGCAAATATAAATTCCACATTTTTTGCATCCTTTTTTCGAAAGTTTAATATAGTCAAAAAGTTAAAATTTTTTAAAATAAAACAAAAAATAATGATTTCAAAAAAGGAAAAAGCTATTTAATTATGATTATAAAACTAATTGTATAGTTAGTTTTCTCTATCATTAATTCAAAAACCGACTTTTTTTAAAATTTATAATAGCATAAAACTGTATTAATGTTGTTTTACGAATATAAAAATCATTACGGTATAATATAAACATTTCAAACTAATAATGCAGTAAAATGGATACTTTATTCAAAGAGTTAAATAAATTGTGTCAATCGTCGTCACTTGTATACAACGATTATTTAAATAATAGACACGACACGGTTTTTGTTGACGACAAAACAAAACCAATAGCAACAAGAATAAAAACAGCCGAAACATTTTACGAGCGATTCGAAGAAAATGTCGCAAGAAATTATGTATTGTTTAAGTCACTCGAGATTGTGTATAACAACCTTAAAACAATGAAAAAGAAGGTAAAAACTGAAATGAAAATCCTTAAAAATCAAAATGATTTAAATTGTTTTGATAAAATCGTTGAAGAACTATCTGAAATTTACGACGAAGACTTTCAAGCTAAAAAGAATGTGCTGGAAGAACAAATTAAAGAATTTGAAAATCGCAAAAACACAAAGATATCAGAAATGAAAAAATCCAAATATTACAAAGGATGTGATGATACAGAATTAAACATAGGAAAAAAAACAAACATGATATTTAAAGAAGTAATTTTTGACAGTGTGCAAGACGACTGGAAACAAAATACTTCCGTTTTTAATAATAAAATAGAAGGAAAAAGTAACTTAGTTTTTTTGATTGAGGATAACGACGGTAACAAATTTGGGGGTGTTTTGTTCGAGAAGGTAAAAAACATTGAATGGGTTGATGATTCGAAATCGTTTATTTTTATTTCAAAAATTAATGGTAAAAATACATTTGAAAAGTATCCAATTAACGATAAACAGACTTTTTATCTTAATCGAAAAAAAGATTTTTCATTGTTTTCGTTTAAAATGACGAGCGACTTTGGAATTAACAAAAATGGAGATGGAACATTCAGATTATCTTCTTTTGGAGGTAAAAACAAGTTATTTATTGATGATAAATTTAAAGTCAGTAGAATAAAAGTCATTCAATTGGAATAATTTATTTTGAATGACATTTTTTGTATTTGTTTTATATAACAAAATAGTTAATGACTGATACAATGTATCTAACAATTAATAAAATCTATTCAACTTTAAAAGATTTAATATTGTAATTGATTTAATAATTAGAGTTGTAAAAAAAAATCCAGCTTGATAAAAAAGTCTGGCTTTTTTGGGAAATAGTAAATGAAATCAATTTAAACTTAATGATAAAAAACATTTATTTTTAATAACAAAAAACTCTTGTTTGTGGAAATTTGTATGTGAAAAACTCTAATACTAAAACTATAATAGTTTTTTATTATAATTATTTTTTTTACTTATGGAGCAACTTTTTTTTTAACTATAAATATATTATTAATTTTTATTATAAATTATCTTAACTGTTAATTATTTATTCATCTGGGAAATATAGCACAACGGTAGTGCAGCTGTTTATTGAACAGAAAAAATAAAAGTTCAGAAGATCGTGGGTTCGACTCCTACATTCCCGCTTTTAAAAATATTTGTTTTATTTTTAAAATTTTTATTTTTGTTTTTATTTTTAATACTGTCTTGAAATTAACATCACTACTTTTTGTCGTGGTTTAAAAGATAGAACTTTTTTGAACAAACTTTTACAAACATTACTTTACTTCATTATAATATGTCTGTTATAACTAATTTGTCTAACTAAACAATGTTTAATTCATAATTTAAAAAATATACAAAAACGTGCAAACTAAAATTAACAAAATTAAGTCTAATTTTCATCTTATTTAAGATTAAAGTGACTTCCCAAGGTGTGCAAGTTAAGGTATAGTTCATTTATAATTTTTTTATTAAAAAAATAGAATCATTAATTTTTTGAAATTATGAAAAAAAAGATTATTTTTAGTTTAATTATTAATTATAATTTTGAAGTTATTACTAAACTATACTTTAACTTGCACACCTTGTGACGTTGCAATTTTTAACTTTCACACTTCGAATACAATTAATTAAGCAACAATTTCAGGAAAGCGACCCAATTGAAATTATCGAAGGACCAGTTCTGGACAACAGTGCACATCGATTTGTAACAATGAACTGCACCTATTAAACAGACTATTTGTTATTGTTTGCTATAAAACGGCACAGAGAAAAACATAATGTTTATCATACCTTTTCTTGTCACTTTGAATACAATAACACAAGAGACATCGACAGTTATTCACGTCTTGAAACAAAATTGTTTTTACATTAAACACGTAGATAAAACACTACCCAATTTTTATAATTTAATTTGCTTTTTGTAGTTTATTAATTCAAGCACCAAAGGGTTGTCTGTTTTTTGAAACTATTTGGAAATGAATAACATTTTTTTAATAAAATGTTTTTCAACTAAAATTTAGTCTTGCACGCCCTTTCCCTGTAAAAAAGACTAAAAATTTTAACTTGCACACCTTGGGAGAGTCACTTTACTTTAAGTTTTTGGAATAAAATAAAAATTTATTCCTCAACAAAGAATTTACAATCAGAACTGCTCTTTATTCAAAAGTGACATTTGATGCTTCTGGTAAAGTATCAGCTATTTATTTAGAAAAATTATCTAACTTATAAAAAGTTTGACTTTTTACTGTGAGTACTGTAGTATTTCACAATAGCAGTTCTTTATTATATTTCAAAGTTTATAACTCGACTATGCGAGTTATTTTTGTACTGGTATGAACAAATATAAAAAAGATTATACATTTGACTGTTTTTTAAGTAATAAAAATTAATAAAAGTTCGATTCGTTTAGAGCAATGCGTATTGACTTTTGCAATATTTAGTGTATTTCTGTTTTATACAAGAACAATACTTTTGATCACAATGAAAAGTTCCACTTTTTAAGTCAGAATATTAACATCATTTTATGTACAAATCGGGGTCAGACCTTTCCCACCCCGTTTACCAAAATAAAATATTTGCCGCGATTGTTTTTGAAGGAAGTCCATTTTTCAGCCACTGTTTGTGCGTCCCCATGTCACCCACTTTCCTTGTCCGTACTGTGTGGACGCGGATGTGGTTCCCCCCCCCCCCCGCTTGCGGGGGGGGGGGGGGTCAGGGGGGGATCCGCGCCAAGGGAGGACTTGGAAAGTGGGTGAAACGGTGCACAAACAGACTGTTTGAGTGTGTCTTCAGAGCCTTCTTTTCAATGCTCCGTCTCACTCGGTTTCCACTAAATCAAGGTGAATTTTCGGCATTTTTTGAATTCGGGAACCAGACCTAATATTATCCAAAACGCCCATTTACTATAATTATAATTATAAAATTATAAAATATAGTAAATTAATTCTATATTTAAACGGGGTGAGGGTGGGAAAGGTCTGCCCCGTACAAATCGTGTGATAAAAAAACAACTTTATATTAATTTATATAAATAATTTAAATTCTAATAAATAAATTTGTGATACAATAAATGTAATTATAACAAAAAACCAATTTTAAAAATATTAGTATTAATAAAATACTTCAAAAGATAACTATAATTTATATTTAAAATTATTATAATATATAGCTATTTTTTTTAAATTACATTAAAATGTTTTAAATCAATTCTTATAAATAAAAAAACATGTCAAAAATAGCTTTTTCAGTGAATTTGTTTTGTAGAAATCTTTTGCCACATATAAATTGCTTTAATTTAGGGTAAACAACGGGCATTAGGTAAAACGTGATAAAAATTTAAAGCAGTTAGATGGATTTCCCCAAATATTCCATTTCTTTTAATCCAAAATAATACCAAATAATGTCGAGATACTAATTATATAATGAATTATTATTAATTTGTCAACGCAATTATCAACTTTATTTCAAACTCAAATTAATATTGAAAAGACGAAAACACCAAAATAACAATAAAAATCTTATTTTAAAACTACTTAATTCTAATAATGAAACTGTTCAGGGTATTGATATTAATTTACATTATTAGTGTTAAAAGTACACACGTGAAGTGGTGCAAATATCGATATGAACTTCTGTGTGTTGGTTTGGATGACGAGTGTTCGTCCAATTTTGAATGGAGTCTTTCAAGTGATGAAATTGAGTTACCACAAGTAAATGACAATTTTTCAGTGAAGTGTTTTAAAGAGACAGAACTGACTCTTTCAATAAATTTCAAAGTAAAACAAACACTATTTTTTACTTTAGAAAACACTTTTTACAAATTTTTGAAAATCAAAAATTACTTTGAAAACATCACAAATTTATTTAAAAAAAATTCACACAATTCCAGTCAATCATTTAATAACAACAAAAATTCAAATAACACAAAAGAAACTTTAAAAGGCTCCTGTACCAATTGTGCAATTTGTAGTGGTACAACATGCACTAAATGCAATGATGGGTATTACTTATCTTCAGGCTCTTGTAGTTCGTGTAGTTATAGGTGCGTCACATGTTTTGGTTCTTCATATACCCAGTGTTATTCATGTAAAAATGGGTATTATTTAAAAGATCCCAATTACTGTTATTCATGTTCATCTCCTTGTAATTATTGTACTACTGCCACAAGTTGTGTTACTTGTAATCAATATTACTATCTATCAGGAACTTCATGTCTTTCTTGTTATTCTTCGTGTAGTTATTGCAGTGGACCAAATTCAAATCAATGTACCTCATGTAGATTACATTATTACTATTCAAGTGGAAGTTGTATTGCGTGTCATTCTTCATGTAATACTTGCTCGAGTTATTCATCATCGAGTTGCAAAACATGCTATTCAAAATATTATCTGTCAAATTCTCAGTGCTATGCATGTAGTGCAGATTGTTATAATTGCAACGGTCCAACACGCCTAAATTGCACAAGTTGTAATTCCCATTACTATTTATCAAATAAAGAGTGTTTTCTATGTCACTCGGAGTGTTACAGTTGCGATGGTCCTTATCGAACAAATTGTACATCTTGTTATAATGGATATTATTTTTATTACTCATCAACTTATAATAGAACTTGCATTCCTTGTATGGATGGTTGTGCGCATTGTCCAGACTCAACGTATTGTTTTGAATGTTCAATGGGCTATTTTCGATATGATTATAATATTTGCCTAAAATGTTCAGAAGGATGTCTCGATTGTCGAGAAATGGATTATTGTTATCAATGTGTTAATGGATATTACTCTTATTATAACAACACTGGTAGTTATTGTAAGAAATGTGCGCCAGAGTGCCTTACATGTTATGGCCCAAACAATAATACGTGTTACTCGTGTGCTGAAAAATATTATTTACAGTCTAATAAATGTCTCCAATGTGATTCGACGTGTTACAATTGCACGGGATTAGCTACAAATTGCACATCATGTGTAGAAGGGGAAAGGTATTATTTCAATGGAGTTTGTAATATATGTGAAAATTGTAAGACAGGAAAATGTTATTCATATCCCATTATGTGTTCACAATGTGATGATGGGTATTATTCACTCAATGGAATTTGTGTTTTATGTCATTCAAATTGTTTAACATGTGATACTCAATCCACAAATTGTACATCGTGTTATGATGGAACTTATTTGTATGATAACAAGTGTTTACCTTGTGATACATCATGCACAACTAATTATTGTGATACTTTTAATGGATGTACACTATGTAAACCAAATTATTTTCCCAAGAACAAAACGTGTCATTTATGTAATGAAATAAACAACTGTAACACATGTAGTCAACTTTCAGAAATTTGTACAAAGTGTAATGGCGAATTTTTAACACAAAATGGTAAGTGTGTATGTCCTGCTCATAAATATCAAAGTGAAATAAGCAAATGCGACTATTGTTATAACAAAATTGATAATTGTAAGATGTGTACATATTCGGGAGATAAAGTAACGTGTTTGGAGTGTTATCCGCCTTATATGGCATCAAATGGTATATGTATTTTGTGTAATGACTATTATTATTATAATCAAACAACTAAAATGTGTTTACAAGATAACAATGGTTGTAACACACAACTTGATAACACTAAGTGTTTAAAATGTAATGACAACTATTATTTAAATAAAGGTAAGTGTATACCACAAAATTCTAAATGTGTGAGTAACTCGAAAATATCATGTGAAGAATGTAATAATGGATTTTCTATTATAGGTGAGTGTTATAGTTACATGCAATCGTGCAAATACTTTAATAACAATAACATGCAAAGTACTTGTTTTAATTGTGATGATAATTACGAATATAACAACAAGTGTGTGTTACAAAATAATGTCAATTCGTATACTAGAAATAATGCAAAATTCAAATGTAATGATAATGAATATGTTAATGATAACAATAAATGTTCTCTATGTTATCAATACAACCAAAACACCGCAAAGTGCATTTTAAGTCAACAGACTGTGGTATCACTAACTTGTGACAAAAATGGAGTTATTAATTTGAATTCAAAAGTGTGTAATAATTACATTAATTGTATTCAAAATGAACAAAGTGACTGTGTTAAATGTTCTGAAGATACAAATTACATTTTAAAAGACAATTCCTGTACAAAACATGTTATTGAAAATTGCGTATTATATAACAAAAATGTGTGTATAAAGTGCGAAAATAATTATTTAATTAACAACAATGTCTGTGTCAGAATGGAACAACTTTACTGCAAACGGTCTCATGGAGTATCATGTGAAGAGTGTATACCTTCTTATTATAAAAGCAATACAGAAAATAGTGATTATTGCTTACCATCAACATTTAGAGAGAAATATCTCATATTGACATCAAATGCAATTAAAACGATTTACGAATGTCAAAGTACATATGGTCTTTACGACAATAGTTGCACTTTAGTTAGAACTTTTAAATTAAATAACCAATTTAATAAAGACTTAAAAACTTCAAACAAATTAGTTATAGATGAATATGATAAAAAAAATCAAAACAGTTATAAATATATGAAAAATGATGCTCTTACAGATTGCGAAATAATGACAACTAAAGGATGTGTAAAATGCAACGAAAAGTTTTATTTATCAAACAACAAGTGTCTTCCATGTAAAGGGAAATGTGTGACGTGTTATAATTCGACGTACTGCCTTTCATGTTCGACTGATTTGTATTTTTTGAATGTCAATAATGAGTGTGAGTTAGCCAGTGATTTACGCTCACGATGTCAAAATTCGATGCCAAATGATGTTGGATGTGCCATATGTAAAAATGGGTATTTTAAAGACAAGAACGATTGTGTCAAATGTGATCCATCGTGTGCCACATGCACTGAAATTTCAAAGTGTTTGACATGTATTGATAACTCCTTTTTGACACCAAGTGAGTCGTATTTATGTCAGTCTTTTGATGGTTTAACGAATTGTATAGACAAAACAAAGAGTGGGTGTAAATCGTGTGCTGACGGGTATTACTTGAATTTGGCAAATAACAGGTGTTATCAATGCAACAGTGAGTGCCAATTATGCACATCTGATGTGTCGTGTACACTCTGTAAAGACAATTACATATTAAAAAATGAACGTTGTGAAAACATCACAACAGTGCAATTTTGTGTGAAGGCCTTACATAATTATTGCACACAATGTGAAAATAACAAGAAATTGAGTGAAGATGGGTTGTCCTGTGTCGATGACAAAAAGTTGTTTTTGAAAGTTGGAGTGCCAATTTTGGTTATCTTCTTTGTCATCATATTTGGCACCATTTCAGTGATTTTATTGTTAGTTTATATACACCAGAGACAAAAGACGAAAAAAGAAGAAGCCAAAGTCTGTATTTTTGACATGAAAAAATCAAATGTGACGTTCACAAATATTTCAACGAAGATTTGTAGTAACAAAAAGGTTCTTGAATTTACTGGAGAGAGTGACACAGACATCGATGTCAATGTAGAGAGTCGTGAATTGCTGTGTATTGGTAACAAAGGGAAAACGCCAATTAAAATTCAATTTACTGTGAAGGAGGGGTGCGACCAATATTCTATTAGAACAGAACCTAAATTGGTGACACTCAAAAAGAACTTTGCATGTGAATTTGAAGTGTTTATAACACCAAATTTCTCGTCTAAAATTGAAGATGAAGTTGCATGTGTGTGTCTTGATGTGAACGAAGGGAAAGAAGAAGTCATTCTAATCAAAATACGAGCAAGCACAAAGCCATCGACACGACTGGATTATCACGAATTGATTGAAGATAAGAAAATAGGAGAAGGCACGTTTGGAACAGTTTATAAAGGAACTTATAGAGGAAATCTGGTTGCTATAAAACGAATGAAATTTTCTGTAGAAAATTGCGACTCAACCAAAATAGGAGGAACAGCAAATTACACAAATTTAAATAACAAAACTAATGGAATGAATAATTTAAATACACAACAAACTAATTCTGGAACAGCGACACAGGAAAGTACAAATTATAACACAAATGACACTTCAAAAAATACCACAAAAAACAATACAAACTTTTCAATGACAGAAAATGACGAACAACGTTTTGAAGACTTTGCAAATGAAGTTTCTATGTTAGATAAATTTAGAAGTGAATATATTGTACATTTCTATGGCGCTGTATTCGTACCAAGTAAAATTTGTATGGTCACCGAATTTGCTCAATTTGGGTCTTTACATGATTTGATGAAACACAAAAAGAGTGATGAAGTTGATATAAACGTGCGAATTAAAATATTAATAGACTCTTCAAAGGGAATTGAATATTTACATACAAATGGAATATTACACAGAGATATTAAGCCAGACAATATCTTAGTCTTTTCGTTGGATATCACAGAAAAAGTAATTGCTAAGTTAACTGACTTTGGAAGTTCGAGAAACGTCAACTTGTTACAGACGAATATGACATTTACTAAAGGTATTGGTACACCTACTTATATGGCACCCGAAATATTAAAACAAGAGAAATATAAAAAGAGTGCCGATATTTATTCGTTCGGAGTGATGATGTATGAGTGTCTCGGGTGGTGTAATGCATACCCAAAAACATTCTTTAAATTTCCATGGAAAATTGCGGAATTCGTAACATCGGGAAAACGTCTAGAAAAGCAAGATAACATGCCAACTCAACTTTTTGATATTATTGAAAAGTGTTGGAAACATAATCAAATCGAAAGGATCACATCTTCTAAATTAGTCTGTGAATTGGAAAAGCAACGCATTCAATAATTTAAATGTTTTATTGTTTTATCTATCATTTACGACAAAATACGTAATTACAGGGAGGATATAAAACAGCTTTAGTCTTTTTAACTGCTTCCCATCAATTTAATAGTTATAACTAATAACATTATAATAAAAAATATAATACAAATTACCACCTCAAACAGAAAAAGTCTCCACGAGGCATATTCAGCCTTCATGGTAAACAGTACTATACATTATTATATTAATATTATTTAAATATATAAAATCAAGTGGAAGCGGTTAAAAAGACAGAAGCAGTTTTTTAGCTTTCCCTGTATTTCAGGATTATTTACAATGAAAAAAATCATCAAAATTAACTAACCGTTGCTCACCCTAAATTATACAAAATTTCATTATAAATAACTATTTCAATGTTAAATGGATTAACACATTATACAGATTGAGTATTTAATGGGTGCCAAGAAATTAAAAAATTGATTGATGTAAATATTCGGGTTTTATTTTTTTTGTTTTTTATTTTTTTTCTTGATAATAATTGAAATGAAAATCGGTGCCAAACTCATTTCAATTCTTAAAATAATTCTGGCACCCCATAAATACTCGATCTGTAATTACAAATAACGTAATTTTTAAAATTAAACAAATAATTTCGATTTCAAACAGAGTGTCTAAAAAACGTCTAAGTCCCAAGTTACAGAAAAATCAAAAAAAATTGTTTTGAAATAATTGATTTTTTTTATTTTTGGTTTAATATATTTTTATGAATGAAAATCTATAATTGCTTGGTAAACTATTAATAAATATGTTATTTAAAACTATAAAATATAACTTAAACAACTTAATTAACAAAAAATAACACTGTTAAGTGTCGTTTTTGTGTGTATGAGTGCGTCAATTATATAGACCCTGTTTAAAAAGACTGGGTCGATTATATATATAAAGGCGAGTAGTCTTGCCTTCATATATACGTAACTATTGTCATTATTTAAAATCGATTCTCGGTATTTCAAAATGAGTAGAAACGAGACTCATTTTAACCGAGAAATTGAGTCTCATTTGTTCAGCAAGTGTTCTTTTAATTTTTTAGATTATTATGTGCGTTTTACATTTTTTTCTGTTCTTGTAGAGAACAGTAAAATAACGGGAAATTTGATAAATTACAAATCTGGTTTTAATGATAGTTCTAACTTTTCTCTTAAATTTTATCAATAAAATATTATATTTTTTGATTTAATTGCTTGGATTTTTAGGGAAATTTCGTAAATGTGTTCATTTTTTTACATGTTTTATTATTGTTTTTGTGAATTGAATAATGTGCTTGAAATTGCTAATGTTTTCAATTTTATAATCAAATAATTAATAGTGTTTAATTTAATTTTTCGGGAAAAAATAAGAAAATTTATGTTCAATTTGATTGTAAATTTTCGGGATAAATTATTGTTATTTTTGTCTCCTTTAAAATTCTATTATTTTTTGATCAAATCGATCAAAAAAACAATTTTTTTGTTATTTTTACTTCAAAATCCTCAACTTGGGACTTAAGTGCATTTTTTGGACACTCTGTTTCAAATGAGTGAAATATAATAATTAATTATTCAACCAGTCTACATTTATTTTTTAAAAGTGGTTATATTATTTGAATTTGTCAATTTATTTATGTTGTTTTTGATATAACTTTTTATAAAAGTTTTCTTGAAAATAACTATTTTTTATGACAGTCATTTTGGCAACTATGAATGAATTTTGGATAGATAAGATAGTTGTATTTTATTGTTTTTACAAAACAACAATTAATATCGTATCTGGTTAGGTATCATGACTGATTTGTTAACATAATAATAATAAATTTATATTTAAATAATTAATATATCATTTAATAATAAAATACAAGATAATATTTTAAAGCTTGAAAAAAATAATTGATTATAAATTGTTTAAAAAACTGTTAAAAACATATTTAATAATGTTCAAAAAACGAAAAACCATGAATTTCAAAATTTCTCGACTTTCTGGCTATCACATCATGATAGTGTCTATGTATTTAGACACAATCAAAGATTTTATTAACTTGGAGGTTGTATGCAAGAAATTTTGTGGTAATATGGAAAAATTCCATTTTAACCCAATTCCGTTGATCTGAAACAATTGTATACTTCCCAAACATAGAAACACTTCATTTGTGGAGTAAATGTGATGAAAACTTTGGAAATATATATTTAATAAACACAAAAGAAAACGTAGAAGATAAAGACTATGAAGATAAAGCTGTTTTTAAAAAAATGTTTTATCGAATCATTGTGTGGTTCAATGTTGACTTTGAAACTGTTGACAATAACAAATTTAGAAACATCGAGTTCAAATATGTTAATTACACTAAAAATGATAGAGAAAGATTTGGTAATAACATACCATTAAATGTAAAATCAATTGGTCGTAAATGTTTCATTAAATGTCTTAGTTTGAGCAGTTTTACAATACCTCCAAATATAAAATCAATTGGCTATAAATGTTTCTGTGATTGTTTCAATCTCAGCAGTGTTACTATACCATTGAGTGTGACATCAATTAATAATAGATGTTTTTATGGATGTATAAGTCTGAAAAGTGTTACAATACCATTAAATGTATCATCAATTGGTAAAGATTGTTTTTATGGATGCCATAGTTTAAGCAGTGTAACAATACCATTAAATGTATCATCAATTGGTAAAAATTGTTTCTGTGGATGCCATAGTTTAAGCAGTGTTACATTACCATCTCTAGTGTCATTAATTGGTAAATATTGTTTTTTTGAATGTGGTAGTTTGAGAAGTATTACAATACCATCTACTGTGACATTAATTGGTAGTATGTGTTTCTATGGATGCAGTAGTCTGAGCAGTGTTAATATACCATCGAGTATAAAATCAATTGGTGATAATTGTTTCTGTGAATGTATAAGTTTAAGCAGTGTTACATTACCTTCTAGTGTTTCATTGATTGGTTATGATTGTTTTTGTAAATGCAGAAGTTTGAGAAGTGTCACAATACCATCTAGTGTAAAATCAATTGGTGTTAATTGTTTTTATGGATGCACTAATTTAAGCAATGTTAATATACCTCCGAGTATAAAATCAATTGGTGATAATTGTTTCTGTGAATGTATAAGTTTAAGCAGTGTTACATTACCTTCTAGTGTGAAATCAATTGGTGATAATTGTTTCCCATCGAACACCGTGGTTTGTCTCGATAAAAATAACTATTGTGTTATTACTTAATTTGTTAAAAAAAATATAGAGAAAATTAATTGATAAATTGTGAAATTAATAAGGTAAAAATTACATATCATTGTCGAGTGTAAAAGAAGAGTCTTAAAGCCAGCCCACAGTTCTAACTCACTTTTATATGAAACAAGTCTACTATAAATTAGTATATTATTTAGAATTTAAAAAAAACTAAGTTAAAACAGATAATTAGTAACATAATACCGATTATATTACAACATAGCAAGTATACATTTTTATTTCCACTCTACAAAATATAAAAATAAGAAACTTTACATTTTATTAATTAATAAATATAATTAACAAATTTATATATATTAATTAATACAATCCGTCAATTGAACACTAAAAACATTGCTTAAAATTTATGTAAAGATATAAACAGGGTTTTCGTAAAATATTTACAAATACAAAAAAACCAGGGACCAACTATTAATAAACACACTGTTTTTTTAAATAAAATATAAAAAAATATAAAATATGAAACTCTTAATTATCATTCAGAGTTGTCTTATTTGTTAATGCCCAGCCGAGCCAAAGAAAAGTTTGTTCTTTATATTGATTTATCTCTTATTGTTGAATACTTTTAATAATCATCAATCATTTGCTGTATGTCTGAATCACCAATAATTTATTTATTTATTACTTTATTTTCATTTATTGCGTGAGCCACTTTTAATACTGAACGAAAAGTGACTTATCAAATCAACCGAATGAATAGAAAAGACTACAACATCTTCTTTGAAAAAATGAATGAACGATTTAATTGAATGGTTGTGTTGAAGTTGAACATGGTTGAACATAAGAATAATATTTTATAATAAAACAATAATTAATAATAATAAACTTACTATTATAACTCACATTAAGTTGTTGTTCATTCATACTTTATTCAACACATTCATTTTTTTCATCACGAAAAATAACCGTTTTAAGACCAAATAATAAGAAATTTGCTCATTTATTTATATCTTTGCCCGTTTTATTGTATAAAATTTACTTAATAGTCAATAGCTAAAATTAGTCTGGTCCCAGTTTTTTCCGCTATTTGTAAATAATATATAAATGTGTTCAAACAAATGAAAATATAATAATAATATTTTTATAAACTAAAACACCAAATAGAACAACAATTTGGGACGGCATTAACACATTTTGATGAACATTTAAAAATACACATGTTCAAAGAATTTGGTCCAGATTTGTGTTATTTTGTGTGATATTTGTTTGTAAATAATAACATAATAAAAGTTATAATAACTTTCGTTTATAACTTTTCTAAACGAATGTTGTTGAAAAGTATATCACAATGCACGGTTTTTATATTTGTTTATTTTTATTAGTTTCAAAAACATCTTTAAAACGGATGTTTTCATGTGTATGGTTCTACACATTTTGGGTATTTTTGTGTTTGTTTTTTAATCAAAACAATTTTTGAATTTACACAACATTAGTAATACATATTAAAATTTTTATGTTTTTAAAGGTGTAAAGAGACCTCACCATAATGAATTGGTCTTAAAATATCTTTTTAAAAAAGACTAAATTGGTTTTTTCCTTTAACTATTTTAAGTTTGTTTAAATTCTATTCTTCAAAAAATTTTGATAAATTGCTGTTTATACAAAATTTGGTTTACATTTGTCAAAGATTATAACACATTATTACAAATCGGTTCAGTCACTCTAACTGAAACGATTTGCACATTTCCGCTTATTGCCTTGGGTTGGAAAAGTTTGTTTTATAAGTAGTTAAGACTGACATGAGACGGAAAAAAATGTGGGTAGATAACGATAACATATCAAACTGCTAATTCCTGTTTTAAAAAGTCTCAGAAAAAAAATAAGAAAAAAACCTGTTGAAAAATGGATTGATTTCTTTTTCAAGGATTGGTAAATCTATTGTCAAAATAACATTAACTACAATCATAACTTGTTTCATTGAAATACTTGTTGTTAATACCATGAAAGATATAACAAAACGTACAAATACAGATAGAGTATTTAATGGGTGTCAGAAATCTAGGGGGTGACAAGAAATTTGAGGATCAATTGTTGTAAAAATACAAGTTTTGACTAAAGTCATTTTTAAAACCGTGCAACTTTGACGTGTCAGTACAACTTTGTTTATAGTATAATTATAATAAAACAATTATATATATTTTTAGAAACAAAACAAGAAAACACAAACAAATTTCTTTAAAACTATTACTCTAATTAATATACTATAACTAAACTATAACTAAAGTTGCACATTTTTTCTCAATTAGAGTACCGTGAAAAATCACTGCGGCGTGAAATATTACTGCGAATTGTTATTGGTCAAAAATAATGTTATTAAGGGTTTTAAAACATTTTGGGTTATTTTTTTGTTATTCGAGGCTGTTAAAATAAAAAATGACAATTTTGTTCTACAAAATCTTTTGAGTTCAAGTCAACAGATTGTGCTAAGAGGAAAAATGTGTTTTTATGAACTTTTTATGGGGGTTTTGTTTTTTCATTTTCCAATTGAAAAACAAAACGTTTTTAGTTTTTTTGTTATTACAAAAAAACAAATTCAAAATTATAGTTTCGGATATCCAAAAATTCTTTTATCAAGTAAAAATGTGTTTTGATATTTTTTAAATGTGAATAAATGTACCAATAATTGATATTGATTTACCCGTTACATCAATTTAATAAATATAATTTTATTGAACAGTCGATATCTCTGACAAAATACAAACACATTTTAACAATAAAGTTTTGCTTAATATCGTATTATTGATGGAGATTAAAAATTATAAATAAAAAATCTTCTTCATAATTATAATTACCAAATAATCACTTAATAATATAATTTTATTCTGATGAATAAAGTGTATTCCTTAGTTGCTTTCACAATGATTTGTTATTTGAAAAATCATTACTCAATATCTTGTATATGTTTTATGAGAGTCGTTGATTTTTCGATTAAAAAATTAAAGAAAGAATCTAACCCGTCACACCGTGACACAAAAAATGGTTTAAAAACAAAATGAATAAACAATCTAATTATCTATTTCATAACAACATCTGTAATATATAAACTGTTCAGTAAATATTTGACATGTTGGTTGTTTTATCACTGTCTATTTTGATTTTGGAATGTTGTGGAAATACAATCACAATTCACATCAAATAAATTAAACAATGAACTATTAATATAGTATAAATATAATTAAAATATAATAAACAACAAACAAGTGAAATAGTTAATTAACGTGTAATTTTAATTAACATCAATAGCAAAAATTTATAATAAAACAACAATAAATTATTATTTATTTTTTCTGAATGTGAAACTATTTTTTAATGATTATTATCATATAATTAAACTAGTCGATTAATTGTAGATAATTTTATTATTAATTACTATTATTTTAAAAGGGTTAATACACAAGAACCCCAAACAACTTAATTCTTTCATTTCAACAAATTATTTAGATTTTGAAACAGGTGTGATAAAATAATCGACCATCCGAAAAACCCACACTCGTTAACCGTTTGTTATCATCAAATATATTCATTTTTATTAATTTATTAATATGATATGTTTATAACGTGTTTTTGTATTTTATTTATTTTGTTGTTGTATTGCAATTGTTGTTTTAATAATAATATAAATGTTAATACGTTTATTCAATCTAAAATTATTCGAGTTTATATTACTGTGCATTTCTATATAATTATAACGATAAAACATATTGTTTTTGATAATAAATTATGTTTATACAATAAAAGTTAATAATTTCAATATTCCCAGCATAAAATAACGACTAGCCGAAGAGAAATCAAATAGAGTTTTATAAAAACCAAAGAGTGGACCAATTATTTAAATATACGATGTCCTAACTTATTTGTTTTTGTTATTACGTTTTGATGTATTGTTCAGTATTTTACGTTATAAATTGTTAAAATCTATAAAATAAAAACCAATATATAGTTTGAGTTGTTCAGAATGTTCCGTTTTACGAATTTACCCTTGTTTTTATTAATAGCCATATTATATAACATTTTTACAAAGTAAATTATTTTTTATGTTTTATAAGCAACAATAACATTATTTTTGTCCCAATAACAATTCGCAGTAATATTTCACGCCGCAGTGATTTTTCACGGTTCTCTAGTTTTTTGGGTTGCACCATTCAACAGTCTCGTGTTCATTGAAATTTTGCAGCGAAAAAGTCTTTGAATCACACAAGTTGGCTTGTCTCATTATTTTCTTTTTTATAAAGAGATGTTTAACATTTGCTCCATTTACAATCGATATACAACTCTGTTTTATTTGTTCTGTATGACAATTGGAATTCTGCAATTTTAATGTTTAATATGCATAATTATAATAATCTCTATTTTTGTTTTTTGTTAAAAAATATTTTAAGTTTTTGAATATGTTTTTGTCAAAAGAAAAAAATAACGCCAAAAATATAAAAATATAAAATTTTAAATTT